TCTATATATATATATATATATATGTGAGAGATATTTTGCAAACCAAGCCATTTGTAGAAACCATGAAAATCGTCGATTTCATTGTTTATTGTAGTGAAATTTTTTCATGTAATTGTTTAATATGATTTCATTGTTTATTGTAGTGAAATTTTTTCATGTAATTGTTTAATATGATGAAATTGTTTCAAATAATTCATTTCAAATAATTATGGACATTATCATCAACATTCTATTAATTTTAGTGAAACAAATTTCATCAAAATGAGAAATACATGAAACATTTTAATTTTTACACAGAAACAAAAGTATATGAAACATTTTATCATAATGAATTATTTGAAACAATTTCATGAAAGAATTTCACTAAAATAAACAATGAAATCAACTGTTTTCACGGTCTCTATAAATGGTTTGGTTTACAAAATATCCTTCCCCTATATGTATACACAAGTATATATTGTTTATTTTTACATTGCTTGCATTGCCTTGGTTGTTCTAACAAAGAGCAATAATATATAGTGTTTGTTCATAAGGTTGATCCCTCGTAGCAAACACCATGGTTTACTTGTTAGCAGTAGTTTAAATTTCAGAGGTCATACCATACTCAGAGTTAGAGCCCGTTTACCAAACGTTTATCCGGATAAGCACTTATCAAGTCACGTTACCTCACCGGATTAATATGGTAAAAACCAAGAATTTTACCCGGTAAGAACGAGACAAGAACCAAGAGTCTTACCCGGTAAGTAAGGACGACGACTCTTACCACGTAGCGCTTACCGGGTAAATTGTTGCATACGATGGCATTTTGGTGGACTAAGATCTTACCCATTAAGTAAATAATAGTATTAGTTTGATCTTATTTTATTCAATGATGCTAACAATCAAACTCCAAAACTCAAATCTTGGAACAGCTACAATCATTCTAATTTCCTTCTCCAAATTACTGATGTTGCCATTAATTTAGTTGGCATTACACATTCATCCAACAATAGCAAAAAAAACACCCATGATCCATAATGGAGATTAATCCCAACTTGTATGTCAAAGTTATTGTCTACAAAATAAAAAAACTCTACTCTTGTGATTATCCTCTACTATAATATAATATTTAATCCCTAACTATCACCAGGATTAGTAGAGAAACAATATCACCTAGGTCTCTCTCATCTTGCACAACAGCATTTACAAAATTGTATTTACAGGCAGCAACTATATTTATATATATCCTATTTCTCCTCCTATCTTTTTGTCAATCCTTCGATGCACGACCTTCCCCACGAGGCATTTTCTTTGATGCCACTGCAAAATCAATATCCATTTAACATCATCATTGTCATCATATATGCCAACGACCAACTGTTATTTCAATCATTATGATTTTTTAAAACTTGCGAGAGAGAGAGAGAGAGAGAACATACAATCTTCGACGTCCTTCAGCTGATAATAATGAGGTGCTATTTCCACCAGCCACTCTGGTTTTAGTTCGCTCACCTACATTTTCGAAATTCAAACCATCATAACATCATGCAACAATACACACAATAACCCCAATTCCGTTTCAGCAAAAGTTACCTGTCGCATGTACTCCTTGGTGGTCAGCACCAACTCATGGTATACCACCCATCTAGGAAGTACCTTCACACACAAAACCAAAAGCACCAACAACTATAACAACAAATTGCCATGTACAACTTACACTTCTACATTGAAATATAACAATGTAAGGATAATCTACCTGAGCTAAACCAGAGCTGGGGTGAATATAAACAGTCTGGGGATGTTTAACAGTCCTGTAGGATCCATTCTTTTGCATCCTTGCTGAGTGGGGGAAGTATCCTAAAATACATAGATAGACACTCACATTAGTTTACAAAAGTAGTTATAACCCAACTTAAAACTACTCCAATAACCAGTTTCTCTATGACCTGAGGTTATGGACTTCTTAATTGCTTCTAAATCGCCAGGGTTTGATACTAACTCGATTTCAACCCTTTCCAGTAGCCCCTCCAGTTGATCTCTTATGTCACGGGCACGCTTCATACTCCTCACCTGCACAAGAGGAATTCCAAAGCCCATAAGAAAATGCAAAATACTAACCATATCTACATAACTGGAATAAAGTTAACATATAGGCAAGCATCAGGTTATATATCATGAGATTAAATTTTGTGACACATCAACAAGAAAGATCGTTAACAAGGTATCTTTCAAAAGAAAAACGGTACCTGAATGTAATTCTCATAGCACCACTGTGTAGAGAAGTTTGTTTCCTTCCATGAACTGTAAACCTGAAAAGATTAAAGATATCAAAGAAAATCAGCTTTCCAAAGTTGGATTCTATAAATTCAAGCAATTGAACTGCAACATTAAACCATCAAAACACAAATTTATCTATATATCAACCTTACCTTAAGCAGTGCTATATGATCCCCAACATTACCCATATGAAAATTCAAGCGAGCATTGTCTGCATGGACTTGTTTGTCCTTTGGACGATAAAATATCGAACTTCCAATGGAGAGCATGGCAGCAATCGAAATGATCTCATCTGAGCATTTATACTTGTCGGATGCAACAATCATCTTGGACAACATTGGATCAAGTGGGAATTCTGCCATCTTTCTACCCACCTTTGTCAATTCACCATGTTTATTAAGTGCACTTAAGGCAAAGAGTAGCTCCAGGGCTTTAAGTAATGCCTCCGCTGGCGGTGGATCCATAAAATCAAAATTCAACAGGTCATGGATCCCAAGACTCTTGAGACTGAGCACGACATTTGCAAGGTTGGTTCGTTGGATTTCTGGGACAGTGTTGTCATCTAAGTCGTTAAAATAGTTGTAAGCAGTATACAACCTGAAACACTTTCCAGGACCAGTTCGTCCAGATCGACCAGCACGTTGATTTGCAGATGCTTTTGAGATAGGAGTGATCAATAATGATTCCATCCCTGTACGAGGGTTATAAGATTTCATCTTAACAAATCCAGGATCAATGACATATTTGATGCCATCAATTGTCAATGATGTTTCTGCAATGTTAGTGGCAAGGACCACCTTGCGTGCCCCTTCAGGAGTGGGTTCAAATATTTTTGCCTGAAGCTCAGTAGGGAGATTTGCATAAATGGGACATATTATCAATTCTGCTATTTTACTCCCTAATCCCCGTGTTCGGTGTTTAAGGATCTCCTCGGCTGTTTCAATTTCCTCCTGGCCAGTGAGAAAGACCAATATGTCACCATCTCCAGGGGGTTGAGTAACATGGATTTGAAGTGCCGTGACAATGGCTGCATCCAGGTAATCAGCTTCTGGTGCTTTTGTATAATTTATTTCAACAGGAAATCGCCTTCCTGGAATTTTAAAAATTGGAGCAGAATCAAAGTAGTCGCTGAACTTCTCTGCATCAAGAGTGGCGCTGGAGATAAGCAACTTGAGGTCAGGACGGAAGCGAGCAATATCCTGAAAGAAGAGCAGGATAAACGGGTCAAACCAATGAATAGAAACAGTTCCCTACATGCTTCAGATTTTCTTATCCAAATAGAGCCTTAAAATATGCAGAAGGATGCGAGTTTTAGATTTACCTTAACTAAACCGAACAAGATATCAGTTGACAACGTCCTTTCATGAGCCTCATCCACCATCACCACACTGTTTTCTAGTCAATTAACATTTGTTTGCAAATATATCAACAACATATTAATTTACTGCTAAATATAACATACCTGTAACTTGCAAGATCAGGTTCACCAAGAAATTCTCGTAGCAACATACCATCAGTCATATATTTGAGCACCGTCTTGTCAGAAGTACAGTCTTCAAAACGTATAGAATAGCCAACCTGAAAGCATAAACCAAAATGATTTCAGAGTAGAGTTTAGTTGTCTGGCAGTAGGGAAGCTGTATCTGTTAACAAAATGGCAGAAATCAGATACTCAAACAATGTGCTTTATATTTTGACACCGTCACCAAAAATCTACAGAAAATATTTACAAGAAGCACATCCTAGTTACCTCTCAAAGGAAGAGAGAGAACAAAATGAGATGCTAAGAAATTAAAAGCCTAAAGTTAAACCAAAACACATACCTCATGCCCCAGTTTGATTCCCATTTCTTGAGAAACTCTAGCGGCAACACTCATAGCAGCAACTCTTCTAGGCTGTGTACACCCTATCTGTGTGAAAGTAAAAAAAAAGTCACAACTACTGTGTAGCACGTAGAAACTTTTGTGCCATAGGAGAAGTATTCAACCTACAACAGAGTTGTAAAAAATCATGATTTACAGTATGATGATGGAACTTGGCACTTTATCATATTCAAGTGTAGCACCAGAATTATGTTGGAAAAAACATGCAATTGCAGCAAATATACCAGAATGCAAGATAACCATAAGACATTTCTTATCTTAACAATAATCTCAAACAGATTAGAACCGTCTGATTAAAAAATTTGTACAAAAAATAACTACTTAGAAATGTTGTTTTCCAGTAACAAAGATAAACCCATGAATAAGTTACTTCTATAAAAGATGCAGTCATCTATCATGATTGAACGAGTCTAGCAAAGAATATATTGTGACAACGATATGACAAGGAATTGCAACATAAACTATTACCCCACCCGGTACCACAGGAAAATTACCAACCAAATAAACGTTTCGTAACAAAAAGTTGGGATTTGAAATCTGACACTACCCCTATATAAACACAAGCATGATTCTTTCTGTAATGGGAAAGTTACCATCAATTATTGCTATACAAAAGTAGACCAAGTGACAGAGATCATAAAACAAAAGGTAAATATGAACAGGTCGGAAAACCTTTGGTTATTTAAACGAAATAGATGAATAAGTTTGATTTATTACAAGAGTACCATTCCACGTTTAGTGTATCCAGCTTCATGGAGATATTGGGGTATCTGAGTGGTCTTTCCTGAACCAGTCTCACCAACAATGACAAGAACCTAATAAGGCATCAATCAAATGTAAACCCAAAAGTGTGTCATTTTAACCCAGATAAAGTCTGAATGTTTTCAAGATCATGAGCAAGTAATGCGAAAAAAGAAGACAACCAACATATATAGCAAGGAGTTCAAGTAGACCTGATGATCTTCAATAGCTTGGAGCAAAGACTCCCGATAGGGATATACAGGTAAAGTTTTTCTGTCTGCCTGAAGAGAAAACATAGAATAACAAATGAGACCAAAGTTGACTTTCTGAAAATCAGAAAAGTTATATCAGGGATAATGATTTTCATCTAAAAATCAGACAAAGTTAAATCAGTGGAACAATATGATAGTCAATACTTCAGAAATGAAGAAAGCACACCAGAAGCTTCTCGTGTGCTGATTTTGCCATAGATTTTTCCTGTTCCTCCTCATCTGCTTCATCATCGACCTGTAAGTGGGAGAAATGCATTTGACTACAGGTTAAGAGAAGGCCAAGGAAACACATCACACGATGACAAGGACTCGACATACATTTTCACCACCCATGACTTGTCCCTTTATGAATTCAATCTGGTCCTCAAACACAAAACTGTCAGAGAAAAATGTATAACATTAGGTTGATCTTGCCAGATGGAAAACCTTCTGGTGCCCTAGTTAAAAGAAATTCACTGTGACAAAGAAGAAAAATGAGCAAGTAAAGAGGGGAGGGTTGTGAAAGTGAAAAATTCCAACTGATTAATCAAAAGAACTGCAACTAGAAAATGCTTACTTATAATCTTCAGATTGCTTTTTGTTCTTTGACCCAAATTTTAGTGTTGCTTTTCCTGCAAAAATGACAAGCCGTTATTTAACGAGTTAACATCTACAGACTACAAAATGCCACTGGTAATTACAACATACCAATCTGATGGTCCTCCCATGCTTCTTGTTCAGCAAATGGGTTCATCTTATCTCCATCTTTTGAATCTCTGGAAACAAAATCATTTCAATCTCAAGTTAAGGTCTCCAAGGAATAGAAAACAGGAGTAGCATGTGTGCAACAATGTATATGTGGCAGCCACTTTTTATAACATGCACTGATTCTAACCTGTAGCGTTCCATAGCTACAGAAAATCTTTTTTCTTGATTAACTCCGCCTTCTATATCGTAAGCATCAGGCATCCGATACTGCATTCCAAATAATGTTGTGAGGTACATTTCAGAAAGAAGTAGAAAAAGAAGCTTAAAACAGAACGAGAATATTTTGCACTATACTAAAGCCAGTTACGAAAATTTACGGTTCTGGCTAATATCTGTGAACAATCAACTGGTCTATGAAAGCCTGGCAGCAGAAATTTAACAAGATGATGTTTTTTTTTCCAAATTACGTTTCAGATTATAATGGCACGCGACCAAATATAAATATAGTATATATATATATATATATATATATATATATATATATATATATATATTCTCGGTTTGGTTCTGTTTGGTATTAGCAACCACAAACCAAATGATGCGTTTGTAAGTCAAAGCCAGACTGCAATACCCAAAAACAAACCGAACTTGCCAATTCCGATCTGCGGTTCAGGCTTACCCTTAATATATATGAAATTATGATTGAGCAAAAGCAACTCTAAGAACAATCTCAAACGTCAAGGGCATTATCAAGAAGCAAAGAGTAACCTCATTAATGTTATCATCCTCTTGAGACCGCTTCTTAACTAGATCATATATTTGCTTCTTGTTTCTGCACAAGTAGGAGACTTGTATCATCAAACATAATACAGGCATCTAGTAAAGCAAAACCTTCATGCACACAAAAACACACCTCAAATGCAAAAATCATAGAAGAAATAGTAAACTTCACAAATCACACATAATAAATTTCATATATGGATAATTTTTAAACAAGGTAGGCAGTCAAAACTTTGTTTTAACTCTATAGGTTATCAGAGATGGAGCACAGGTTTGAAGTTTTAGTATTTCACCAACATAACATACAAAGATATTTAAGTTTGACAAACAAAATAGAGTCAGAAGCCGAAAATCAAAAATAGCCTGGCATAAAACTAACTACAATGTAGCATGTGCATGCAAACTCGTGAATTAGTATGTACATGGTACAAGTGCAACCCAGTTCATACAGATTTCATCAGGAAGCTTCAAAGAAAATTACCTTAGATCACGAAGTTCAGCTTCAGATACTTTCTGATTCGCGAACAGATACTGTTCATCTTCTATATCATCTCTGAAATTGCAAAATTTAAATGTGATAAAATATAGCATAAAACAATATGTACGGTATATACTAATCACCATGCACTTGCAGCTTTAGGAATGTGAAATCTATAAGAGGTAAAAGTTAAACAATAAGCTTTAACAATACCCGATTTCCTCAATTTTCTTCTGCTCCCTTTTCTTGAGATATTCTTGTCTTGAAACTTTTCTGAAAAAGGATAATAGATCGAAAAACATAGGTCAAAGTATGAAGAGGCATCACAGCACGTCAAACCAAAATTGCAAGCAGCAGACAAGGCAGTTCAAATTGCTTTTGTTCCCATTTAAAACCATGTGTCTTGGTCCATTTTATATTATATTCCTCCTCGATTTGGTACCGCTCTCGCGGCCCGCACTGAAACAGTGCTTAACACAAATTACTGAAAAAAGCACGAGAATGGTTACATTATCTTCGTAGCAACACAAATATGTCTGAATTAAGCTTCTTGCTTTAAAAAATTCCTTGTAAAGCACTAACTTCATGTGTCTTGTTTTTTAAATAACCCAAGATATTCAATTGCTTGATACTTGATAGTCTATAGTTATTATAAATACTGAAATCCATCAACTGTTTCTTGCGTATCATGCTTAGTGTAACAAAACACAAAACTAAATATACATAATTTAAGAAAGTTCAAAAAGGTTTCCAGCAAAAGCTCAGTTCATACCTTAGAGCTCCAATGTCATCTTGTTCCAAGGCATTGGCTCTCCTAATTGCCTCTTCTGTTGTCCAAATAAACGAAACAGGAAAAAGTTATTATAGCATTGTTCGTAGATTTATGTGATATTCCCTCTGTCCCAAAATAAGTGTCCACATTTGGAATGGCACACAGTTTTAGCCATGCATAATTATTACACTTTTTGGTTAACCAAATGACATATTTACCCTTATTCAATTTCTCTTTCTTCACAACTCTTAAATATTTGTGCATGAATTAAGGGTAAATTTGAGAATTTGGTTATTTACGTTTGAACGTGGACACTTATTTTGGGATGGAGGGGGTATATAACTAAATATGTAACCTATATATACCTTCCTCCCTCTTTGACAATTTCTGTTCAGTAAGCTGTAACAAAATAAAGAGAAGTTAGGAACAGCAAATAGCTTATTTCTCCATCCAGCAATAAGAAGTTAAGCATGCAATCATAGTTGTCAAATCATGATTCCTATCACGAATCAGACTCGTACTTTAGTGAAGCATGAATTGTGAACCATAGTCTTTAGCACCTAACAAGTGTTTGTATTAATCCTATAGCAATACCAGAATCTTATATGTAGTCTTATTTACAATCAATATTGTCTTAAATTATTAAATAACATAATTCCTCACTTTGAGAAAAACAAGAAAATTAAGAACCAAACAAATAGTGTATCATGAAAACAACTTACAAACACTAAGCAGAAACATAAAACCCCTTGCCTTAGTTCCAAACCATCGCTATAGTTGTGAGAAGAAAATAACAGATAAGAGAAAAGAAAAGATAAGACAAGAGAGAAGAAGAGAACAGTAACCTCTTGAATTAAAAAACCCTGAGGCTGAGAAGAAATGACAGGAGCCATACGAGAGTCACAATCATGATCCAAACCACAAAAAAAAACTTGGTGGGTATGAACTAGTTAGAATCTAGGATAACATACCCATTGATAAAAATTTAATGCAATTTGTTAACACAAAGACAACTCAGAAATATTTTGATACATTAATGAGCTCTATCGGGTGTTCCATGAATCAAATAATCATATCATTGAATCATACAATATGATAACAGTGTCTGCGACATTATACCTAGAAAATAGTTTTGAAGACGAACACTATTTGTCTTTCCAATAGTTGTCCAAGTAAAGCAATGCGAGCGTTTAAGATTCAAGATAGCTTTTATCATCATAAGGCCAAAGCGTACTGAATATCAAGACAATTTGAGTAAAACAAAATGTTGTAACATAAAAGTTGAAATTGAAATAATTCTTAAGAAAAGCGTGCATTCGGTTCATGAAGGTCAAAATGTTTGCCCCAGAATAAATAAAATGCAAAAACCTTGATTCCGTAAAACCTACTCGTATACCCTAATTTACGATTTACTAAATTACCACAAGCTCGTTATTAAAGACAACCAGTCAGTAGCCATGAAGCTTTGCGTTTATCAATCCTCCAGGGGCCAAAAATCAATTCATGTTAGGAACGAAATGAGTAAATGATTATTAAACCAAACCTTTGTTGTCTTTGCTGCATCTTTTTCCCTTAGATGACGTTCCAACTCCTCTCGTTCTATTTGGTCACGCAATCTTTCTTCTTCAGACTGCAACAAGAATAGAGTGCCAATTGATACCCAAGAATTACCCAAAAGTATCATTTAAGAGTATCAAGAGAAGCTGTCAAGAAAATGAACATCGAGCATTACTTGTATAAATAGTCAACAGATCATGACTCATATTTCACAAAGATAAGGATATCATATGGCATTCAATGGCAAACCTGTCAAGTATGAAAATGTTACAAGACTTTCCTACATGCATTAGCAATGCTAGAAATTGGAAATAAAGTTCAACACCACATGCACAAGCAATGCTAGGATATAGGTCAAGAGCTAAGCAGTCACAGAATGCAATCACTAAAGAGGAGAAAGATTCATTAGCATGAGCAGAACAGGTAAATAGACTAAAAATATTCAGGAAACAATTCAAAACAATTTAATTATGATTTGTTGCCAGAAGGATTAATATTATGTCAGATACCTCAGAACCGTCTGATTCCTCGCGAGAAGCTTTTTGTTTAACCCGTCTTTCTTCTTTCAAAATTCCAGCTCCCTGCAGCACCACGTACAGTTATAAGCAGTAACAAATCATTATAAGAAGCACCAAACCAGCAGCTTACCACAAAAAAATAAATCAAAATTTCAATAAGAGTACAAGCAATATGCCTCATTATCTTCATCTTCTTGATTTTCAGTCTTCTTCCTGAAACGTTTCGCACGTTTATCGGCCTTTTTCGACTGAGGAGCAACAGAAATAGAGCCATTGCGCTCATCATTTTCATCATCGTCGTCTGCCTCCAATAGCTTGTAAGTCCTCTGCTTCTTGGCTAGCATTGCTGCCTCCTCTTCTTGTTGGCGATAAGGCTATCAAATACCAATAACAACAAGAATGAGCAATGGAAATACTGGTTAACTCTCAAAATCAAAGTCATTGATAGTAGTAGCAAGCAAGCCATTTAATTCATATGTATATAACCTCACATTTGATCCAGAGTTCTTATGCTCAACTTTACGAAAGATCTCTTCAGCAAATGCACGTGTTTCATTTGAAGATGAGACACCCATGTCTTTAAGATTACTATGTATATCAGAAGGTGATGAAGCTTTCTTAGCTGCAAAGAGATTAAAAAGAATCAAGCATGGGTCTAAACAATGATGAAATGATATGCCATGAAAACTTAACAACGATATATGTCAAATATTAAACTTGAAGATAACTTACATAAACTAATTACATACTGAACCAGTGTGGGTTGTGAATATCCCAAGAGGGACATCAATCTGTCTGAAACCCATATCTTCAAGTCACTCCCCATTTCACTACATTCATAAACATATAAAAAGATCGATTTACTGATGTAACATTTCCATTAATAAGATAAATACTGTGAATAATTCCAGACTTCATAACAGATGATGCTTGCTACATTAAAACAAATGTATAAAAAAAATTCATGCTCTATGGTCTTTACGAACGGATAACCAATATACAAACCATAAGCCATCCAACTATGAAGAGTGTAGACGATTCAAAAACATATTTTCCCATAAATAGTTTGGTCAAGCCGTGATTCTCTTTACACTACAGAAGCAACAAAAATCATATTAAGAAGTTGCTGCAGGAAGTTATGAGCATTAAAATTACTCACATATATGCATACCATTTGGTTTTTAAAAATTTAGCTATTCCAGTTGAATTTATTTAATCATTTAGTGAACCAGATGACATTATGCATAATCCTTTGTAACTTTGCATGGTTAAGTCAATTAACTCTCCTTAGAGTATACATACAAACATAAATGTACAATTCTTTGGGACAATTTCCAGCAAACCCAACAATTAAATGAATTAATCATCAAAATTCAACTGCAAAATTGATGGAAACCCCCAACACCCACAACAAACTTTAAACCCTAGTTCCCACTCTTTATTTTGATCTTACGCCACAAACCAAATGTAAGGCCGTGAGAGTGTGTAAGATGTGAAGCTTTGTAGAACTTAAAGGGCGTAAGCATCAAGAAGCAATTTTCAAAAGATTTGTGAACAAAAAACCCTAATGGGAGAACCCATGAAAAACCCACCCTAGTGTCAATGTGGCACTGCCCATATCAGCAGGGATGTCTAAACTTCAAGAAAGGCAAACAAACTAAATATAACAAGATGCAGCGACAGAGAAGTAGGGGCAGAAACCTGATTTGCACGGAGATGGAGGAGGAGAAGCAGCAGATGAGAGCGCAACGGAGGCAACAAATGGCGATGCAAAGAACGGCGTTGGTGCATCGATGAGTGGAAAAAAGGCGTGGGTTAGAAGAGAAGCGTTGATGATGCAACCGAGCGATCAAGCTACCGGTGATTAAGTCGCAAACAACGAGTTACTGGCTTACTGCGTATATGATGATTTGGGTCTCTCGAGTCTCGAGTAAAGAGCTCTATGGAGGGTATGTTTGGAAAAGGGGAAGGATAATGGCATGTCTCCCCTCTCGTTCCCACTTAGTTTTAGATAATAATGCATTAAAAAGAATGTATTTTAACTTAATTTTTATTTTGGATAACGTATTTTAAAAACTTTCATTTTGGTACCTAAGATGTAAAGTTTTAAACATTTAAGTACCCGGGTAACTGGTTGAAGTATTAACCGATTATCATGTTGATGTGTCGAGTGATGTAGTATCCAACTCGGTATTATTTGTTGACCTGGTCAATGATGTGGATTTTTTTAAATCTAAAATTAGTCTTTTTTTAGTCTAAAATTAGTCTTCACTAGGTTATCTGGGTACTTAAATGTTTAAAACTTTACATCTTAGGTATCAAAATGAAAGTTTTGAAAGTACGTTACCCAAAATAGGAATCAAGTTAAAGTACGTTACTTTTTCATGCAATTTGCCCTAATAATAATTATTAATCTAGGCTTAATATCCAACGCTAAGTCAGACTTCTGTACATATAATACAAACTTCTTCACTCAAAGTTAGCATACATATGTGTATTTTAGATCCGTCGTAGAGAGTCTTTGCATGTACTATACAGAGTCTCTGAATCCATTTTTGTCAAATTTTAAGTTATGTCATACAAAGCCTCTGTATTTACTATACAGAGCCTTTGTACCTTGAACTATTGCCCTTGCACAGGGCCGGCCCTGAGATTTTGAATGCCCATGGCGGAAAGCCAAAAAAATGCCCCTTATATGTGTGTATAAAAACCAAAATAAACTATTTGAAGGGGTTTGGAACCTAGTCAATCWAGCCGGCTCATCCCCATGCCGATTTCTTTTCCTATTTTGAGCACYAKAWGGTTGTGATCGAGGAAACATACTCAAGTAGTTAAATTGTTAAACAAATGATACGATATAAAGAATAGAAAAATAACATCTAAACTTGGCCGTTCGTGGTTCGTGTTGTGAAATTGCCAAGAAAGTGGATAGATTAAGCAACTTGGACAAATTGATA